GCTAGCTTTGACTCAGCTCTTTGACCATCCAATCAGAGGACGTGAAAGTGCTGACGTTATCATAGGTCAGCTAGCTGGCCCTGGGACCACCAACTCTCAATCTGATTGGTTAAAGCAACAGTTTCATTGCAATGCATTTTAAGCAACAGGCTCCGGCACTTTTGATTCTGAAGGCCTCAGGGCAGATTTCTTTGACCCTGGCAAAACATGATGGCTGAAATATGATTGGATAAAAACTCATGATGTAGACATACACTGCTTGAAGCCCCACAGCCCAGAGACACACTATGAAATGAAGAGAATAGACTGTTGGGAATTATGTGAAAAGATTAATGGGAAAGAGTTTAGGCCAGCAGAGAAGGCCTGGCTGGCCCTGATGGCACACCACTGGTATATATATATAAGTTTAAATCTATAATAATATCTTGTTTACATAATGTTTCTTCATTTAATTTCATTATTAGCGATATCATTTCCTTCCTCCAAAACTGACACTTCCATGTGGAAATGTCTTCACTGTGTGCTCACATGACGGTACATTGTGTACCCCCACTAAGCCTGCACACTGCTCTTATATTTATGTAATTGCATAACAATTTATAGCTTTCAGATGGCTCTGTTTAGAGAGGGTTTGACCCATGGAATGTGTGGGTAGAGTCTTCTAGGTAAGAGTATATGATTCTTAAAAGAAGTAAAACACTGCCTGTGTTCTCCTGCTGAGTCCTTAAATTGATAATTATACAGTAAGGCACTCAAGAGCTACCAAGGAGCAGACCAAAGACATTTGTCTTTACTTTAGTCTTCCAGATGGATCAGTTAAGCGTTTTCTCTGTGCTGTCAGGGACATAAGTGGTCTATTCACACTGTTTGACCAATTATGACACGTTGCCTCGCTAAGCTAAGCTCCTGGTTATTTATGTGTACGAGAGACATGATAGTTACAACTCTGTTAGTGCAAAAGGGATGTTCAGTTTATTTTAAGTGTTGATTTTTCACCAAAACTGCGAAGGAGCAGTGTTGTAATTTAGCTCGATAATTGCGTGTTTTGTGTCTCTAATAAATCTTAAATGAGTTAAACAATCATTCCAAAAGTTTCTTATGAGCTTTCTTGATTAGTTTTAGCCACTAGGAGATGTTCAGAAGGCAGCGAATAGGACTCAGTCTTTCTTTTTATTTGTTATAAGTGTGGTCATAAGGAATGGTTACGGTAAATACATTATTGGTATGAAGACGTTATACGTATAAATAGAAAACCTTCAGTCGCAACAGAAAAGCCTTGAGCTGAGTTAGAGGACTGAAGTGAACTTACACACATTTCTGTCTTTCCATTGATTGGTCAAACCACTACTATTCCCCCATTTGTGTTTCTGCCACACATTTTTACAATTTTTCTTTTGTTTATTTCACTTATTACCCCTGAACTTATGCAAATCCCAGTTACAAGTCCTAGAAAGTTCTGTAAATATGTCATGCGGGGAGACGTGTGCGCTGCTCTGCCAGTGCTCATTTGTCTACGGGCTACATTTTCATGGAGCCGTAAAAGAAAACGATGATCAATAGCCTATACATCAGAGAGTTGGTGAGCGCACTGGATGCTGCACGAGCATGAGTCAGTAGGTCTGTCATTTGATTTCTGCAAGTTAATATTATAGTAATCACCGTACATGAACTCGGTCCCACAAAAACACTGGAGCTCCTGAAGTGTACTCTAGTCACGCAACAACTCCTTGATTTATTCTGATTATCAAAACATCCACTGACATCATCATTCTTCTCCACGACTACATCCAAAATCATAAAACATCAGAGCGCTCACCGTCTTTTTTTTTTTTTTCCTTTACTGCCTCATTGTTTGACTCTTTACTTTTTTTTTTTCCTCCCTTCTTTCCTTCCCTGTATTCGGAGCTATCTCTTTCTACTTTTAGGCATTGTGAAGTAGCACAAATCTGGCATTTAATGGCATTCCTCTCATAGTTGACTGTAATAAAAGTTGGGAGAATATTTTTAAAAGGCATAATGAACACAGGCCAAAGCAAGTCAACCATCCATCTTAAATAGATAATCACCAATTATTTCTAATAAGTGGTCTGCTCGGGATAATTTATTGTTCCACCGAATTTTGGTATGTGAACATAATTACCTCGCAAAATGCGGGAACTTCAAGAAAAACAGAGCGAACCGATCACCTCTGCAGTGTCCAAGGCGTTCAGACTGTGAAGTGGAAGGGGAGAAAAAGTTATCGGGACTCTGAATAGATCACAAAAGCGTTGGCTATGAATCAGGACAGCTGATATTAACTGACTAAAAAGGTGGAGCTAATTATAAACATAGAGCCACATTGTTCGTGTGCAGGACCAGCTGTAGGCAACACGGAGTCAAACTTCTGGTGTCATGAACTGTAATGCACTTTAACAATTTAACATTTTAGTGGATGCTAAAAACCAGGATCACCTTAGAACGACATCTGCCCTTCACCTTCAGTTCAGTTCATTGATGAGATTTCGTTTTCTATGAGACTTTTGTCGATGATTTTGTGTCAAAAAAAATCAGAATTTCTTTAGAAATAATTATGTCTGCGTTACAAAAGCCAACCCAGCTGATTCGATGTGTTGGTTTTAGCTTTATTAACTTATTTTGTATGCATTATTTTTATAATATTCTATGATTATGCTTTCCACACCTTTGGCAAAGAGTCTGAAATGTGACCAATGGAAAGCCTTTTCAGCAGAAAAACTACTGTTTTTAGTCTTTATTTTTTAGATGAGTGTGTCCTAAATGCTGCTAAAGGTGCAAAAATGCATTTCATTGTTAGTATGTATGATTACGGTCTTATAGTTATTACAAAGAATAAAGAAAGTATTCATCAACCTCTGTTTTTCAAAACTTTTGCAAAGGTTTGTATTATACTTAGTAGAGAAACCACATTTAAAATCTACAGTACAAGCAAAAAATCATTTTTAATAAGAACTTCCACAAAATAGATGTAACCAATAAAATATGGGATGTTTTCTTTTATCCATCCATCCATTATCTATGCAACGCTTAATCCTCACTAGGGTCACAGGGGGCTGGAGCCTATCCCAGCTGACTTAGGGCGAAGGCAGATTCACCTGGACAGGTCACCAGTCTATCACAGGGCTACACTTAGAGACAGACAACCAAGCACACTCACATTCACACCTACGGACAATTTAGAATCACCAATTAACTTGTTTTTGGACCTTGTGGGAGGAAGTTGGAGAACCTGGAGAGAACCCACACTGCACGGAGAGACCATGGAGACTCCACACAGAAAGATCCCGAGACGCGAACCGGCTACCTTCTTGCTGCAAGGCAACGATGCTAACCACTGAAATTAACATTTAGAAGTTAAAGTTTAAAAAACAACAGTATAGGGGCGCCGCTATAGCTCACCTGGTTGAGCTGGCGTCCCATGTGTAGGGCTACAGTCCCAATGTGGAGGTCATGAGTTCAAATCCCGCTCATGACCCTTTCCCACATGTCCTCCCCCCATTCTTCTCCCCTACTTTCCTGTCTCTCTCTCTCACTAACATTATCCAATAAAAAAACCAACAAGTTCAAAATCTGAATTGGAAGACAGTTCCTCATCATTACATTGTCACAATATGGAATTTCCTAATTTTCCAAGAAAACACCGCTGACCTAATTTGCAGGTCATTGTGTAAAACAACCGCTTATTTTTACATTGAGCAACCGAGATAACCTGATGATGTTTTCACTTTCAGTAAGACTTCACATCAACACTGTACGCTGGTGGTCTTGAGGTTTGACAGATTAGGAGAACGTATGAAAGCTCGTGCTGATGTAAGTTGCTTATAGTAAAAAGTAACAAATGGGAATTCCTGCCTGAAATGTACGTAATAGCACACATGATACTCCATCAGCATCCAGGAGAGATTGGCCCAACATAATAACCAAAACGTTCAGGTGTTTAGATGTAGCTCATGTTGATATTGACGTCTTCGCTGCCGCCCTTAAGAGATTTTAATAACAGTATAAATGAATCCAATTTGAGAGACATGTTTAAAAAAAAAAAAAAAAAAAAGGTAAGACCTTCGAAAGAGCAACCCTGCAACAGTGCTGGAATGTGTTTTGGGGCAACCTCCTATACACAGAGCTCTTTCTGTGAAAAGGTCAAATCATTCATTCGTGCAGTTCTTTTTCCTCTCTTCTGCAACCTTTTCTTACCATCCCCTTGTGCCCTACCAGCCAGACTTACTCCCTGTGTTTATAAGTTGGCCCATGTATCATAAGCTAAAACTAAGCTGCCCTTTACCTCATGTAGAAATAGTTGGAAATCCAACCGTTTGAGAGCTTTTAAACTATTTTGACAGGTCCCTCTTTTTTTTCCATCACCCCCATGAGCACTGGAAACTGGCGTTGTGTGTGTCTGTGTCGAAGCGAACAACCGCGCGTCGCTCGCCTTTTTCCCGTAAGCTGACATGAAAGATATTTCACAACTTGTGAAGTGCTGTTTTGCGAGACACGCCGGGTGCTGAGTGAGATGTCATTGTAGTACTACCATGTACCATGTGTCCATAAAGGAGAGATATCCTGTTTTCCTTACAGTTCTATAATGTGGTGCGCATGGGCCGCTGCCAGTAAAAAGTCACATGTAATTCAGCCTCGGGCTCGGTGCCGGCGAAATGGTTCCCTCTGGACCAGGCGGAGGTGAAACTCGCAACACCGGAGACAAACGGCGCAGTCATTGATAAGGACGGAGCTGCTGGGATAAATGTAAAAATTCATTCATGACTAAGTTCATGTTGAGCGTTTTTTTTCCCCTCATGTTGAAATATGCAGCGGTTCCAAAACATATGGTATTGTTTTGTTTTAACGAAGAACAAAAGATGAAATACGAGGTTTACAGATAAAGTTTGCTTTGGTTTCCCTCCTTTTTTGGCAAAAAATGGTAAAGTGACCTTATTTGTAAGATTCTTTTTTTTTTTCTCTCTGACTTCCTTTCATCTCTCTACCAGGTGAGGTCCTGAGCTTGATGGATGACCTGTTCTCCGGTTTGGGTTCGTCCTGCGTCGTCGCCGGGAGGAGGAGCGGAGACCATCCCCACTCTGTGCTATATTCAGTGGTCTTCAAGTGCCTGGAACCCGACAGCCTCTACAAGTGAGTCTGCAGATGCCCTCTGCCTTTGTCTTCACCTCATTCCAGCGCACTGAGCCATAATTACGCTCATTACTGCCCCTCTGAGGCAAGAGGGCAGAAAAATGATACCCCGACAGCTGTGAGGGGGCAAAAATGAGTCATTGTCAGACTCAAAAACAAACTTGGACGAGCAAAACAGAGACGAGATGACTTGTTTATTCAAAAAAATATATTTATTTTTGAAAATCCAACATTTTTTTTCAGTTATACATGAACTAAATTGAGGACTAGTTGTCAAATGTACAGTATGTCTGCTTCTGCGTGACTCCTGTTAGGCTTTAAAGACCTTATGGTGCGTAGCTGACAATTCAAAAAGCAGATGTAGTACCGAACCAAGGCCGAATTGCATAACACAGGATGGTCTTATTTATTTGTTTGGTGCAGATAGCAGCTTAAAATGCTAAAGGCTCTGTATAAGTTTGGCAAAGTCAGCTTATGTGCATCTGTGAAGTGAAGGAAGGTGGCTTCTAGTCTTTAGATGTTAAGTGGGACGAAAATTTTAGCACAGATTAGGATTTTATTCCTTGTTTTTCAATTATTATCACTATTAAAATGAGAAATTATAGACAGCACAGTCCTCTAAACTAGCATATCCCACTCACCTGCAGTATTCGGCGACACAGTTTTTCATCTCAGTTTCCAATTTATTCCAATCTCTGCTACTTTATCTGATTGTTTCACCGTATAAAGACCTTTGATTTAGGATTATATCATGGCCGTGTTTGCAGCTAGCCCAAACAATAATAGCAACATATCAGCAACACCACAACTTCCTCTGGTTATCTACATTTCTGTGTTGTTTTGTTTCCACTTTATTCAAAGTCGTGTACATCCGACTGACATAAACAGGAACACGAAGGAATCTTTGTGATTGTTTTTCACTGTTGAGTCATTCGGCATTTATATCGTTTTTACTGCGAAGCCGACATCGTTTGAGACGTCTTTGTCGTGACTACTCGACCACAACGACATAACCTGTCATAAACCTGGCGTAGCAGCTCCAATTATCAGCCTTAAAGAAGCTGTTGAGCTTTTATGTGTTAACATGACTGTTGTGTGTGGCTGGTTTTGACACTGGCTGTCGTGAGACCAGTCATGAATATTTTCCTTGACCTCAACTGCAAGCGGTACAATTCGCACCAGTCATTAAACCCGAGTCATGTGAGCCTAACCCCTCGGTTAATGTCACGCTGCCGTGTCGTGGTTGCGCCGATGCCATGTCAGTCTTACGCGCAGCCCGGCGAGGGAAGTGAATTTTGACACTTTCTCCTGGACAACAGCTGGGTCCAGTTAAACCAGGGAAACATACTTAGACTTAATGTGGTGGATGCTTCCGTTCTTTTATGTTCTCTTTGGTCAGAGGGTTTAGTGAGCACAGACGGATCCTTGGTACGAAGCAGTGTTTCGTAAAATGAAAGGACAAGTTAGCCACTCTTTATAGATTTTATGGGGTGCTTTTGTTGCGTTTGCTTTTTTTTTTTTTGCAGTTCTTTTTTTTTGTTTTTTTTTTGCACCGAAGGAACTGATGAAGACGATTTCAATGACAACTAAATGACGCATCATTAATTACTGTACTGCGTCATAGTAATCGTTTCCACTCAAGTAAGTTATTTAAAAAGGGCACTTCAGACAAAGAAATATACTTGCCTTCAAATTGAGACATTTTTGTCCCCCCTTAGGATATTACTGTGATTTGCATTTGCTACGAGCCTTTATTCATCCGCCGCTACATCTTGAAATAAAGTTAAAAGACCAACAATAATGGGTGAAGCAGACAGGACCCAGATGTTGTTGTGGCTGTAATGGACGCATGAAACACACACACACAGCCGTCTCTATTTTTTTTTTTTTTCCTCCTTCTGTATTTTCAGGTTTTGTTCTTCAGTATTTTGCTATATGGTGGCCTTGGTTTGTTTTGAGAACTTCAGCATTGGCTCTCCAAAAGAAACAGGCAGGATTTTAAAACTATGGGAAACCTGATAGAGTCGTGTTTTCCCTGATCTATATATGCATGTGCCGTACCAGCCAAAGTTAGACAAAAAAAGAAAACATCTCGTATGTTGGATGTTGCAACAGTTTAATTTTACTTTTGTAGTGGGAATCAAAATGTCAGCGCAGTCGAGGCATTTCCACTGCATGCAAGTGCAATCAAGTACTAAAGTAAATAAAGAGAAAGCTCTGTGTACAGCAGGCAGAAACAAATCCACATTGCTTTAGGAGATACATCAATAGGGAAAATAGGAAGATCTCAATTCATAGAGTATTAGTTAGCCAGGGTGGTGCTAATGACATGAGATGAAAACAAGTTTAATTTAGTTGTGTTGTAGATGTGTTACATACACAAAAGGAGCTTTACTATGTGTGCGAGTGAGAAGGTGATGGATTGATTTGATGTACAGTAGCTAGGGATCTCCTTCTTACTGTAAAATATATAAGCAATGTGTGTGGGAGTGTGTTTTTGAAGTTAATCTAATAGTTACATTCAGGTACGTCATTAGCTAATGAACCTGTCAGCTTCACACAGAAGAGAAAAGTGTATTAGTCCATATTTAAAAAGGATTTCCCAGTTCAAAAAGATCATAAAATAAACCCCACACAAGAGCCAATAGTTGCACTTTCTCCAAGCTGATAACAAAATTAGGATTTAGTCAAAACCTGTGATGTCTAACATCCACAGTTTTGAACTTTCCTAGAAGTTTTGACAGTGATGAACAATAGTGAGGAAACAACAATAATGTTAATCTGTGCAAGTCAAGCTTCTACTAACAAAAACCTGCAACAAGAGGCCTAATTTACAACTTTGTAGGCCCGCTATCTTTGTTTAGGCATTCTCAACCGTGTTGTTTTTCTCCGATAAGAGCAGAACTTACGTCGGAATTACGTCCGAGGGCACATCTGTTTGCAGCCAACTCCACTTGTCTTAATCAAGAGCCTGATAAGAGCTCCACTGGTATTGGCGTTACACTTGATCATTACCCACTCTGTTATGACCCCTAATGTTTCCCTGCAAACTAAGCTGCTCTATGAAAAGCTGAAACCTCATTTCAAAATATGACATTTTAGGAAAATAAGCAGTGATTACCATTATACCAGATATAATCTAACATTCTATTGTGCTGTAACCCATTGATTCCAAAATGTCAAACGTTAGAAGCAGCGTGTGCTGAAGCTGATTTTCTTTCTCTGCAGAGCGAAAATACTGCAAAATAATGCGCGAATATAGCTGTTGGCTTGTCGGACTTTGGCACCGTTCAGTGACCACAAACCTTTATTGTTAATGTAGACAAGTGAGTGGCGTTATTGGATTGGTGTTTTCATTCGTTGATGAGTTTGGCTCACAGATTGTAGTCTGTGGATGATGAACACAGGAGTAGACAACTAATACAGAAGAGTATGCAAATCCAGTGATTATCACCAGTGTTACTGTTGTCACCAGTATCAAAAACATGTGCAGGAAGCAGCTGGAAAAAGTCTGAATCTGCATTGTGTTTTGTTTAAAAGAATTTCTTTATTGTCTTTAATTTTTCATTTAGACCACCATCTAAAGACGTTGCCTCTGCTCAGAACTAAACATAGCTTTAGTAAGTTGTGCTACTTCACAGTTACCTTCTAATGACGGAAAAGAGAAGATGCGTTTAGGTTACAGTAAAACAAATCAGTAGTTTGAACCAGTCGTTTCCATCAGTGCATCCATCCATCCATTATCTATACACTGCTCAATCCTCACTAGGGTCATGGGGGGCTGGAGTCTATCCCAGCCAACTTAGGGTGAAGGCAGGGGACACCCTGGACAGGTCACCAGTCTATCACAGGGCAACACTTAGAGACAGACAACCAAGCACACTCACATTCACACCTACGGACAATTTACAATTACCAATTAACCTCAACATGTTTTTGGACTGTGTGGGAGGAAGCCGGAGAACCCGGAGAGAACCCACACTACACGGGGAGAACATACAAACTCCACGCAGAAAGATTCCGGCGCCCCCACCGGGACGTGAACCGGCAACCTTCTTGCTGCGACGCAACAGTGCTATGCAAACTTTCTCATTTTTGACTTTTTTTTTTTTACAGAAGGACGAATGTAAAAACTTCTTTCTCTGCTTTTTGTGAAATTAAAGTTGGAACAACTCACTTAAACTACTTAACCCAAACAGTTCTTCCCAGACAGAAATCAATATCTTTAAAAAAAAAAATCTGGACGCTAATCGAAACAATATTCTAAAGGAAGCCACATCTTAAATCTCTTACGTCGCGGATGACCTAATATTTCAAAAGTGTGGCTTAGATTTATCGCGCGCTCCTTCCTGTTATTTTAATGAACGATTTGTTACACAATACTCACACCAATGCTCTCTGAGTCACTTGACAGATCCTGAGTCTCCTCCGAGCTGCCAGAGTCCCAGCTGCCCCACATCTTCCTTCTTGCTCCTCAGCTGCTTCTAATTGCTCCAGACTCTCCAATGCAGTGTCTCCAGACACCTAGCCAGTCAGACGGTTTGTCTGAATTCCTTCGCCATCCTATCCGTGTTTATGCCAGCCTAAATTCCTGAATCAACTAGACCTACCTTTTTTTTTTTTGTTTCTGTTATATTGTTTCCTCTCTGTTGATGTGCCAGCAGCACCTGCCGAGACTTAACCATCTTCAGCCACTAAACCACAATTGAAAACACAGCTAAAGTGCCTTTAGTCTCGAGGCAGGACTCGGGTTAATCTTACCCTGCAGTCGACCAGAAAACTGCTGTCCTCACTCTGACCTCCATCAATGCTTGAATGTATGAATACACAAATGTGTTCTGTACTTATGGCTGCACAGCTAAACTACATTTCTTTTAGTCGATTAGCTGAGATTTGTACATCAAATCTTCATGTCAAAGTGAAATTACCATGTGAAGTTTTAAGAACAGCATTCATTTCTTTAAACATTTATTTAAACTTTCTGAACCCCAAACAGTTTT